TCACGGCCGGCGAAAAAAATTTTACGAGTTCGCAACATCTTGCCTGGCGACTGTAAGCAAAAAAACTTTTTGCACGTTCGAATATTCGTCGAGCAATTCTTGGCCGTATTGAGCGTTCGACATTGGAATGCCCGTTTTTTGCGCGCCCTTTCGAGAATAGTAGAGCCCCTTATGCCTTTACGTCTCAAACAGTGATCGATTCTGAAAAAATGGCAACCTTTTTCCGTCGAAATTCCGGCCGCAGACGTATTTCGTTTGACTTCGCAGAAGCACTTCGACTCCGCTGGCAAAAAAGGTAAGAAATCAAGTACGTTGCACACACAGCCCTATTCATTGATCTAACTTATTGCTCGTCACGGCGCAATCGTCGCGCGTCGAGCGAACGATAAATACCATTGTACAACTTTAATCGCTCGTAAATGCGAAATTGGACACAAAGAACGGCTTGTGTTCCATTTGGGATGATATGTGCTCGCGATGCGCGCGAAAACATACCTTAAGAAGAACTTCGGTATTCGCGATTAGATGTCGACTTCACGTCGAAATGGACGACATTCGTGTTACTTAGTTCTACTGTTCGAGTAAAATTATTCTTCTAGGTAATTCTTACAAAACGGACGATTGTTTTACTTTCGATCATATAAAGATCGAAAGTAATTATTTAACGATGCAACAGCTGTATTTTTGACATGCAGCTTTGAACGAGATAATTTAGTATCGATTGATTTTCGTATTTGCGGAAACGTCTTCATCATTAATACATTGCTATAAACAGCTAATTATTCGCGTGTTTACGACAATTAGCTGATTAATCAATTATGTAATGGTGGTATTAGTTCAATTACTCGTGCACGGTTTAATTTATAAACCGATACATCGTATCGCTTAATATTTAATTATCTCTTAATAGGATTATTTAGTAATGTAAATGTTTAAAGATACAAACAGCAACTGAAACAATATGTGTTAAACATAAATATGTGTAAAAAATTATTTTAAAACATATGAAGCAAATCTTTCATTTAGAATATTACCTCTATATGGTAATTTCTAAAAAAGCAAATATCACACCTAGTTTTCTCCGCTGTTCTGAAATACCGACACCGTCAAAACTGCCCTGATACACTAGCGGACTCTACCTGAATCGAACGGTTAACTGCTGAACTATATAAGATTGCGACATGAAAAGTATGTGCCTCGAGAGGACAATTCTTACAGTACTACCGGGCACAGACTTAACGGATAAGTTAATACACTTTTAGGTATGATTTTGAACTCAGTTTTAATATCGATGATGAACACAATAGACTAGGCACATAGACTTAACCCTTTGCGTTCCTATGTCGAGCGTTTGTCAAGATATTTTTAAAATAGATTATATTATGTTATTTTCAATATTATTAGTAAGAAAAATCGTTTACATTGCTCTCTACAAACTAACTATTTTATAAAATTTCAAATTAAATATAGTAATAATACAGAGTTATCCAGCGAAAAATGCAAAAGAAATTTGGAGTGCAAAGGGTTTAAGATACGTAGGTACAGATGTTGCAGTCATATTACCATTTCGGTGTCGTGCTCGACGTTAGTAGAAATTAAATTATCCACATACTTCATTTCTGCTACGAGTGTGTCATGATTTAGCGGCAACAAATGTATAGGGTTGATTTCATACTACGATTCTTGAATCGCGATTCACGTCGTCCAATACGTATCGCATTACGCACTTCATGCACTGTACAATGGGGTACGCTACCGCTATACACCCGCGAAACTGTAAAGAGTTTCTTTTCAAGCAAACCGATCGCGGTAGTATCGCAATAGTGTAGTAGAATTTCGGAAAGTCGCAGTTCTTTCCTAGGAGTATGTGGGTTCATGATGGATAAAACAGTTCCAAAAGCTCGACTGATTTCAAACTTGACACGACTCGAGCATCAAAAATTTGTTCGGACACTGGGTACAGGACACTCGAACTAAAAATATTTTTGAGCTTTTTCGAAATAATCAAGTATCTAATCAATTTTCCATTTTTTATAAAAATTAGATCATTGAAATCTGTTTATTTGCTATGTCCTGGTAACCGTTCATCTGATTTTTATACATTGTACCCATAATTATAAGTGAACAATAATAAAATTATTCTCGTTTTCGTTCAACTGTGAATAAAATGATTCAGTGAATAAAGAAGTTTCGATATCAACACAACACTTACTGATTGCCACTTAAAATTTCAATATTTTTGATTCTTATTCCTATCACTTTTAGCGCTGCTATGCAAAACCAGCCTTAGTCGATATGACAGAGTGTGATTATAACATTTGTACATACATCCTGTCTCTATAAACAATACAAAGCTAAGTATATAGGTAGCCGCTATATAAGAGCAGTTTTAAATATTATATGCAGGCTTCCATGCTACCAACTTACAAATTAACTTATTCACTACCGACTATGTAGAGTTATAACTACTCCGTGTCGCTCAGGAGTTGTCGCGGGTCGGCACAGGTGCAAGAAGGGTCTCTGGCTAGAGATTTTGTTTATGGTTTTGATTCGTTTTGTGTAGCCATATTGACGAATAGAAAATTAATATTGCAATTGAGATGAGAAAACGTGAAAGTTGACCAATGAGATTCGCATTTCTTTTAAAGCACATCTGAACAACGCGGAGTAGATGGCGCATTATTCATATAGATATCCCCTATAAATGAAACGATCACCAGTAAACTATATAGGGACTGAACACCAGTAAAGTTAAAGTTAGTAGCATTTTATCGCTGCATGTCCGTAAAGTTAGATTCATGAAGATGATCCAGACTTCGTGAGGTTAAGTTTCGAGACATATTAAATGTTTATGGATATCCATAAATGTCGATTAGTTTGAAAAAACCAATTTCGAATAATCTATTTCTTTGACCTGTAATGTTTACTTAAAAAAAAATTAAGAATCCTTCTTATGTATCGAGAAGAGCATAAGGAAAGAACATTTTATTACAGATGTCGGAAAGATGTTTAGTACATATACGAGGATAGCAAAGCAGACAGAATTGAATATCCTACCTAATCTGTTACTTAAATATCAGAGTACATGAAAGTGCGTTCCAAACTTTAATCCGAAATTGAGAAAGTTTTCAAACTATAAAATAAAGGAAAAATCATAAACAATACCCAAGGCGAATTTGATGTTACTTATGTCACTTTGTAGCTAAAAATATTCTGCAAATTATCAAGCATACTAGTTTCAACTTTCTTAATTAAAATGAATTCAATGAAAAAGTTAAAAAACTCAAGATAAAACTACCTGAAAAGAGGATTGATCTAATAAAAGAGGATACATCGGTTCAGTGTATTATTTAATATAATTTGCTTATAAATTAATCGTGCGGATGCAGATGCAATAATGAAAACGTCAATAAGCGATACGCGTATTACAATTCGCATTCTGAAAAAGAATAGTTTCTTCTTCGTTACTTTGTATCCACCTTTCTCTCGTTTCCCTTTCTTCATAGTCGCCTTCTTCGAGACACTGTACCCTCAAATTGCGAGCGACAACGGTACTCGACGCAATTTCAAAGAGATTCTATCGAATCGTTTCAATAGACATTACAATTGTATTGTTCAGGATGATCTGCTACGTATTGCGGGAACGTACAATCCTTTCCGTTTTTCAAGCGATTAATTATTTTATTTGTTTCGGAGAGTTTAGGAAGGACTTGGAAATTCTAACAGGAGTTTCGTTTCACATCACTCTGAACAATAAGAGATTTGGATCGAACAGTAACTTGCTCTCTCTCTCGCGCTCGCTCGCACATTCTCTCTCTCTCTCTCGCACATTCTCTCTCTCTCTCTCTCTCTCTCTCTCTCTCTCTCTCTCTTTCTCCTCTTTCTTCCTCTCTTTCTTTCTTAAACCATAGCATCAAATAGAATGCATGTAACACGATTTTAAAAAATCTGACAAAATTTCAGTACCAACATCGATTTACTCGAAACGACGTTATTGTAATAAAAACTCGTAATTCAGCCAACAATTTTCCATCATATCGTTTAACTGTATAGTGACATTTAGTAATGTGATAGCGATAATTGACGGCGCTGATCCATATTCGTATTCTCGCGCGCGCACATTCGCTCGCTAAATCATTCTCACTGAACGATCCCTCGACGATCGCATAATTGAGGACCGATGATCGATGATGGATCAATTGATATGCGAACCCACTAAACGATTCGATAGCTTTCAATTTAAAACCTGTTTAAAACTGATTATTAAAGGGTGGGATTGAAATAATTGGGGCATACGATTGAGAAGAAGACGAGGTATGCACAACCACGTGCCATCTCGTATTACTAGAAGAACGATCGTGTTCAAATTCAGTCGATCAAACTGTCGGTAAAGAACAACGGCGATATGAGTTGATAAAACAGACATGTAACGCAACGAAAAATTGAAATTTGCGTTAGCGTGAAATTCTTGGATATATTTTGAAATGCATTAAATTTCTGCGCGACGTTTACATTGCTCGAATAAAATGGTATTGCGAGTCGAATAAATCGATCATTGTAACAGCACATCGACCAACAAATCTTTAACGCCATAAAAACTACTTTATTTTATTATAGAATGAAACATATGAAATGTAATGCAAACGGACTAATCAGCTACTAACCGACCCATTAAACTTTGATCGCTAAAAGACGAAATTATCGTAATAAAAGGCGATTGTCCATAAACTTCATAAAAACCGTATATCTTAAATATTTTAAAGATCAATTGAAATTTAATGAAATGTTATCTATGCGTAAAGTATGTGGAGCACAAGTTAAAAAAATAATGTTTACGATAAATGTGCAACATTCGCGACGACATGAATACGAATTAATAACAAACATTGCAAAATAATGTCACAAGTTCCTGTCCTTTTCCCTTTTTACACTGGCTCTCTTCTCGTCGAATACACGCGCACACGCAGCAAGCAACACAACGCACACAACCTTACCCTATAGAAGAAAAAAAGGGTTTTTTTTTTAATTAATACGTCTCGCGATAACCACGTACAATGTACTCACAAATGATCGCATTTCATTATTTTTGTCTTTCATCGACTTCTCTGTTGCTCGGACTTACAAAGTAATGGTTGTTAATGAAAAAATCAGGAACCATACGATTTAACAGTTAATTAAAAAATCATGTGTAATCTATGCTTTTCGATTGTGTCCATTCTTTAATAATTCATATGACTTCGATGGCGAAGATTTTTTACATTCTGTGAACGAAAACAATATTTCGTATACCATACAACGCGAGAAATAATTGATTTCTAAAAATAGCGTTGGAAAGATGACACGAAAAAACGATTAAAAAGCAGCTAGAAAAGCAAAAGTCATTTTCAGATTATCTTCATTGTGGCTGATTTGTGTCAAGCCGTAATATTTCGCATTCGCATTCGAATACTCAACAATATCTATAATTATTATTCCAATGACACCGATACTGCTTGAAAAAATGAGATGCTTTGTTCGAAATGTTCGATTCGTTTATTGAATAAATCTCAATTTCCGCTCAACTTTAATCGCCGTCCACGGCACAAACAAATAAAAAAGTATGTCGTCTATTCGCATCGCGTACCAAGTGATAGTGTTCGACTTAAAGAATTCAGGAAACTGATCTAAGCTAAGGTAGAAAACGATAAACATTCATAAAGTCACTTACCCTAAATGCAATCTTATAAAAAAAACCATATGCCAAAAGCGTACACGGTTTTGAAATAGTTTGAGCTTAGGAAATTGCATTTGAACAAGTCATTAAAACAATGATTTTTAAACCAGTTTCCCGTAACAGAAATTATTTAGATTCCTAATAACAACAAAATTAATCGAAAAAGCTAAAAATATTCATTGCCTTCTTAACGAAACATATCGTTACATACCTCCATAAGCTTGTGTAACATTTTAACCCATTTCCCTTGTAGGTGAAATGTATGAATTCCTTGTCCTTACCAAATATAAACGAAAACAAAAATAAATAAAATAAGTAAGCACCAATAGTCATCTTTCCAACGGAAAATTGTCGCCACGTTTCTCGTGAAACGCATTAATTAAATCGTAAACTTAAATTCTCAATAACTGCGGAACATTGGATGGAATCGCATATCAACCTACATTTCAAAAAGGAAAATCAATTTGAGCCGTGGTGTGGGAGATGGGAGAGAAAATAAAATTTGAAAATAAATGAGGAAAAAACCTGGTAAACTCCTAGTGCATACACGCGTACGCAGTCACGCACGCACGTACAGTCGCACAGATAAACAGACACACGCACACGCACACAGAGAAACACACACGCGCGCGCGCACACATTGCACCGTTCATGGTTCGTAGAGAATTGTGGTATAGAGTATAAAGAACTCTATCATTTCGCTCGTGTCGCAACGAATTAACATAATCGCTAAACTGTTACTTCTTTCCGTTTTTATTTCCATCAACAGGGACACCGTGCAAATCCGAAAAAGGAAAACTCGCGTTTACGGGATATCCGTCGGACAATGAAATCCAGCCGTCGCTGTTTAACCGTGAAGAAGAGACCTCCGTATACGGGTGAATCCTCTTCCATCCGCAATAACGATAAACCGATCTTCATTTCCTGTTGTCCTTCTTTTCTTACCAGTTTGTATATGTTTCGTTCCGACTGTTACGAATCTTGCCCCATCCCCCTTCCTCCCTTTCTCTATCCTCTCACCCTCTTTCTCTCTCTTTCACGCACACACTCTCTCCCTGTTTCTTTCTTTCCATCTCTCGGTCTCTCCTTCTCCTCTGTTTCTCTGTCTACTATCAGCCCATCTCTCTGACCGCGACTTCCCGAGTTTATCGTAGTTTTTTCGCCGATGTGTTTGTTTACGCGACCATTTCGGATCGTTTGTATCGTTCATTCTCTGACCCATGGCTATTCTACACGTGGATTCTTGGATTCTTGGATTCTTCAGTTGCCCGACAAATTTGCTAAAACTCTTTGCCCCCGCGTGGTGGTGGTACAGGTATTCTACAATTTACTCTTCCTTCGCTGGTTCTTTCTTACCAAGCGGTATCGCGGCTTTCACCCTGGAACAACAATAAAAACGAATGTACTTCCGTTTTGACCGATCGCATACCGTACCCTTCCCCCTTCCTCTGTACACATCGCGCGAGAATCACATTCCAAGAAGACAAGTGACCAGCATTTCTTTACACTCTCCCTTTACACTTTGGTAAGAAACCAACTCAAGATGCACATACCTACATACGTACTTACACTGCCGCTAAAAAGTTTGGATACTCGACTGTACACGCAACAGCTTGGTTGTAACCATTTCGAATACTTTAATCATATTCCGTCTCTTTTAGTGAAATTTTATTACGCGATGGATGTTTTACCGTTAGATCATCTATATGCAATGATACACGTATTAGATGCCGGCGTCACGAACTACGGACGCACGATACAAAATAAGTGTCCCATCTATACATAATGGGAATATATAATGTGAATACTTATTTTGGAACGAAGTAATATTACATATTCTTCCCTTCTTACAGGCATACATATCTTTTACAATATTAACATCTTACAATGTTTTTAATAAATCATTCACATACAGACGAAGAAGTAAAAAGTGTTCGAAACTTTTGAGCGGGAGTGTACGTTTTAATGGAACTTGTTCCGCGATGGACACCCATCATATGACGTCGGTAGACGATAATTTAGACGATGCCCCGCTTGCAAACTTCAGATTCGCATCTCATCGAACGAGATGTGAAAAATAATACGCGTGTGTATTAATAAAAAAATAAGTAAATTAATATATTACATATAATTAATAATAATTTTGCTTACTTTGCGGTGAGCTCGTTGATGTTGCCGTAGACCAAGGCCAAATTCTGATCGATTTGTGCCTTGTTCGTCTCATACACCTTTGGTAGCGTGAAAAGGGCAACTACTCCTAAAACAAGAATAGTTCAAGCTGTTAATTCGAGCCGATCGATCTTCTTATTTTATACAATTGGACAAGCAAACAGAACCGAACCATGATTAAGACACGATTTACCGCAAAGACAACGAAAACGAGGAGGACAGCGATCCTCTTATACGATTCGACATAGTAAATCGTAAATTTAGGTTGATTCTCGAGCATACGCTCTTCGGACCCTATAAATATCTTTGCGGGCGCGTAAATACGCACTGCGAACCGATACAATTGCGACTCGATTGTCGTGCTACTTACCAATGATTATCAAAGTCATGCCATTGAACCAAGAACCTACGTAGGTGAGGCACCAGAGAAGGACGCCGAATTTCAACGAATCGACGAAATCTTCGACGAGAAAGAGCCTGCGAAGTTCACTGACCGCCGCATTTGCGTGTGCAACGGCTACGTCCGCAACTTCGTGCACCTTTTCCGCTGGCACTGTCAAGTCCAGCTGCAAAATGTCCCTGAAATTCGAAGGCAACAAAACCATTGTTAATCGATTCGCTGATCATCCCTCAATATCGGAACAAACAACCTTTGCCTCGACGAAAATTAAGTACAATCTCCCCCATCCCCAACCCCAGTCTGTCTGTCCGTTTATCCGTGATAATCCCTTTCGCGACAGAGGAACGCTTACTTGAAAGGATGCCCATCGGATGTCTTCTGGATCGCTTGAAAGACGGTCTTGTAGATCCTGAACGCGACGGTGCCGGTGAGAACGAGGAGAGATATATAAGCGAGGACGCTGATCAGACTGAAATAGGCCAGCGAGAGGAGCACACCAAGTATGCATCCAAAAACAGGGCCTGACTTCTTTGGGTCGCGCCAGTAGATTAAATCTGCGACTAAAAGCAGAAGAAACATCGCATTGGGATCGATATCGATAGGTACGCGTGTTTAACGGGTCGTAGGAAATCGTAGGAAATCACAGGAAATCACAGGAAATCGTAGGAAATCGTAGCAGGCCGTAGCATTAACGTGAAAAATTGAATCATCGTCGGAACCCCTCATAGGTTAACCTTTCATAGGTTCGTTTCGCGTATCCTGGCGAATAAAATTTTCCACTTTCCTGGTAATCGCATTGCTCAAGATCTTTTTCGCTTGTCTCTCCAGTATATAACCGATCAAATTCTCGGCCGGTTTCTTCGCGGCTCCATAAAATGTATGGTTACCTCACCCCGAACCTTCACCCGCGAACACGTGTTCGCCCGACGCACCATATGTTGGTCGGAGTCGAACGACGGCTACTATATTTTTCGATCGTGGACTCGAACGTACCGACGGCGTCTTCATGCTTCCGAAGGTTCTCCACAGAATTCGTCGATCTGTTCGATCGCGTCATCTCTACGAGCAAAAACTGCAGGCGACCGCGGCGACTGTTTGAAGGAGCGAGTTCAGAACCTCTTTTCGAATTCCGTTCGCACGTGGAACTACCTTAGCTTATTAAGAAAGGGAAGGCGGATATACGTGTACGCACATACGTGTAAAGAACGAGACCGAGTGGGGAAACGGTCGGCGACTGGGGACGGATGGGGACGGATGGGGACGGCTGGGGACGGCTGGGGACACATGGAGACGCATGGGGACGGTCGACTGGGGCTGGAACTGCAATAGGAAAAAAAAGGAAACTGCTGAAACACGAGTATTTTCCGACAGGATAATCGAATAAATCAGAGACAAGATTCTGATCGATCGACAGTGTTATCGAGTTGCGAATGAATCAAGTTAACGACGGCTAACGAGCAAATGTCTCCGCGACCAGAGAAAACGTGTGGAATTGTAAGGGATATCAAGTCGTGGGAATCGAAGATGTAGAAGCGTTACCGAAGCAAATACACCGAGCATTAGAACGAGCCAGGTGTTTGGTCTCGTTGCAACCGAAATGTTTTCGAACAAAGCGAATCAACGATCGCGTACCCGTGAAATAGCGATCAATGGAGATCAAAGTAACTGACGTAACAGCTTCGGACGGGTCCTAATAATAGAGAGAGCCGGTGGATTCTCGAATTTTGTATTAGCATCTGCGGCTTTGTCTCTAATCCAAAAAGGACGACCTATTAAACCGTTTCCAAGGCCTCGTCATCGTCGACGCGAGCCGCACACGCACCTCGTTCGCGTCTAATTCTGCCAAACGAATTTATGCCGTCTGTTGCAATTCCCGATCAAACGAGCGAAAGAGCTCAAATCGCGAGGACTCGTTCCAATTGTGACTAGACGTTTTATTCGAGCGAGGCACGTGTTAAGGACGGGGAGATACTAGAAGGCTTGGACCCTCGGACGCTTCCAAAGTGTCAGCGCGATCAATGTTGAACGTTTAAAGTCTAAAGTCCATACGCGATATAACGCTCTAAACGCAAGCATGAATCACTTTTGACGCAGGTAGATACTATGTGATAAAATCGAATTAAATTATACATATAAACGAAAAAAGGATGAAAGTTTCGGAACCGATTTTGCATTATTAGGAAAGGAAGGAAAGAAAAGGAAAGGAAAGGAACGGAAAGGAAAGGAAAAGAAGAGAAAGGAAAGGAAAAGAAGAGAAAGGAAAGGGAAAGAAGAGAAAGGAAAGGGAAAGAAGAGAAAGGAAAAGAAAGGAAAGGGAAGAAAAGAAAAGGAAGGAGAAGAAAAGAAAAGAAAAGAAAAGAAAAGAGAAGAGAAGAGAAGGGAAGAGAAGAGAAGAGAAGAAAGAAAAGAAAGGACAAGAAAGAAAAGGACAAGATAGGATGAAGAAGATGGGAAGACGGAGGCCATGATAGAAACCGGTCTGGTCCGGTATGCTACAGTACGCTACGATACGGTTTCCCGGTGGAAAATCAATAAGGCGTCACCGGTGGTGCGACGCCAGGCGTCGCAGTGGCGGCCGTTGCCACCGTTTCCCATACTGTTCCCAGAAATACACCTGCCGATGATTCTACCCTTGATTACGCATTCGGTTCACCCTCTTCGTTACCCCATCGTCTCACCACCGGCTAATTCTACTCGGGGAATTCGAATCGGTCGTTCTTAGGGGAGAACTACGAACGAACCGGCTTCCCTTCGTCATGTCTTCACGTTTCTTCAGTAGATTTCGGTTACGAAACGCGTTAAGGTTCCTAGCTTTTCAACTCTCAAAAGGAAAAATTCTTAGAAAAGTACCCGTACGATCGAGACACGAAAAGCGAACCTGGTTCGAGCTCGACGCTAAAATCATTCAGTTTTTCGAAAAGTCCCCACCCGACCACTGATGCAACGCGGCGCGCGTTTCACCGGCGCGTCCGTGCGTCTGCGCGAATCGCCGCTTTCTGGCAATCCGTCAATGCCCGGCAAGTATCGGGTCCTCTCCCTAGGTGCCCAGATGCCCAGCTTCCGAGCTTCCAAGCTGCCCCGCTGCCCAGCCCTGAATCCCCATTAACCCCTACACCTTTCCCGTGTACTCACGTTCCTCCCTCCTAATGGCCATGTTCCCGCGATTCTACTTCCGGTTCTTCGTTCCCCTACGCCCGAGGAAGATCCGAAGGGAACGAGGAAACGCGGCGGACAAATCGGTAGCGAAGACACCTAGCACTCTCGAGTACAAATCGGACTGCGGAGGATCGCTGGGGAAAAGCGAGAGTTCTCTTCGAGTTTTCTGGCAGAGAACCAACCTCGAACCGGCTGGATACTATATTTAGTCCGCAACGGGCCGCCGCCAATCGTCTCCGGCTTTTTTGGATTCTGCCGCGACGTGGGTTTCGAGCATTCGAGCGTCGACGCTCGCCGTGCTTCCGCCAAAAGAATGTTACCAGGAAAATCACGTTTTTTTTAATCTTTTATCCTACTAAAAACTATTTCGCATCGTCATGGTCGTTCTTGTCATCGTTATCGTTCTAGCCGCCGTTACCGCTTTTATCGCGACTTTACACGTAACCGTATCTACGAGTGTATCCGCAATCATCGCAGTAGTTAACCGTAGAAACTCTCGCGTATTTAATGAATCGAGAAACAATTCCAAACCATCTACTAACCGATCTGGTATTACACAACCGTATGTCTTCATTGCCACCATGAAGAAGTTCGAAAGCAAATGTCCTGTTTCTTTTGTTCCAACAAAACTCTCAGTCCGAAAATAAAATGACTATAATATACGAATATCCAAACGGATACAATTACAAATAAAATCAGCCTATCGCCGTGCGTTCATTTATGTCACCGATATAATAACGCGTTGGATCAAACGTTGAATCCTCTTCGTTGCGTAGCGGCAGGAACGTTTGTTATGTTTGTTACAAGAAACCGGTAAACGATCTTAGATTGCTCGGACAAACTTGAATAGTTCATTTGCGAAATAACACGGTAGTGATTAACTCCAACTCTGATTTTCACGATAAGCGCGCGATGATAGCGCGAACAACAGATTCGGAGTGATAATGTCACGATTAATCGAACGTTACAGTATCGATCGTGAAGATCAAACCTCTGCGACACACACATTAGTTTCGCCGTCGAAAGTCTCGAAATTCCATTTCGAAACGTTACTCACGAGTTTCGTCTTCGTTTCAGAAAAGTTGAACGAAACCGCAATGGCTTTGTTCTTATCTTTCAAGTATTATGGATACTGCTACTACTACAGCTATTGCTAACGCTAAACAATAACGGTAAACAACGGTGAAAATGCGACAAAGGAAAAAGGAAATGAAATAAATCGAGAACAAGGGAATCCGTACAAGCGGCAAACTGATAGCATACAAGGGTGAACGTGTAAACAAATTGAACGGAACAATTGAACATCGACGTCGAGTCTGGTCTCTTACCTTTCGGATTCAGTCTCTCAGGATTAAACCATGCGTCTGCAAACAACAGAATCGGAATTGGTTAGTTCCCATTCGCTTTCGTTAACATTTATTTCTACTCTAGGATGAGCGGTGAAAGTAACGAGCGAATGACGGAAAAAATAAAATTCCAATTGTAAACGGGAGAACGATCGAAACCGCCATAGTTCTCCAGTGTGAACAATCGGCGCGGCGGGTGTGTACGAGTGCAGTATACGATTCGGTGAACGATGAATTCTATCGCCCTACGACTCGATCTATCTTAACATTACTCTGATCGGTGCATTGTAACGTTTCCTCAAGAAACTGCTCGGTACTGACCGACTCCCGCGACCTCTTTCAATGGTTGCGCGAAAAAAATCCAACGGTTCGTTCCTTATAAATCTCTTATATTTTGCGAACCGTGGGATTCCTCGGAATACACCCAATTTCGTTTCCTCGAACTTATTTTCGTTAGGCAACCTTTATAGTGAACACGCTTAACGCACTGACTGCCCCATAATTCTCTCGATTTTCTGGTATCTCAGAGGTCCAAAAAAATTCAACTCGTTAAATATACCACCTTATAGAGAATATTCATTTTTAAACCTACGCACAAGGTTGTGTCATCCGAATGACGTGGCAGTCAAAGTGTTAATATTTGCGGCGAATACAGTATAGAGAGCTAAAGATGAAACGTGGATGTTCATCGGATACGGTAACAATGATTCATGTTGCGAGGTGTATCAATCGCATTTCGCTGGAACGTATTTGATCGCATACGTTTTTCATCTATCCTCGAACCTAATCCGTATCGTCCGGGATTTCAGTTTGATAAATCGGTAGGAATCGATGTTTCGCCCGACTCTGCGTAATTAGCACACAGCGGCATGTCCTCTCGCTCGTCTCGTCTCGTCTCGTCACCACTCCGTTCCTCGCCTGTTATGCAATACCTGGCTGACCTCGACATCTATCTGTACCGCTGTATACACCTCTGTACTTCGGACCAGACGAATCTACTGCAGATCTACGCACGTGTTTTGTCTGTGCTCGCCATAACGACAAATAAGATATCGTCAAGCCGGCCGCGACTTGCTGTTTCTTATCGGTATTCCTCGAGTCATTGATGTAGTAACACGCGTACCTAAAAACACACGTATCTGTCCAGATGACTCGCAACTTTCGATTATTCTCGATGGGCGTGCATGAGAATCAAACATTGGGATAACATCGGGATTACGTTAGAATCGTGTTCTCGAATTTACCGTCATCTACGAAGCTAGCATTATTTTTCCGATTTCTTTTCATTCCTACTATACTGTCCGTTGCATTATTCTTTTCGTTTCCTCTTTATATTATCATTATTAGAATTCATTGAAAACCATATAAACCGCGTAGGACGCGGGCGCACGTTTGCTTGCGAACGCGATTTCATAAATAACTATTTCGCGGCTCGCGATAATCGCCCGACGGTGAAAAATAAAACTTTCCAATGTTACCGATAATTTTGTCTTCGTTCGGTCTTTGCCCGGCCGATATTGAAACGTGTCCAACGATTACGGCTCGTATCGGCGTTCAACGTTCACACGGAGGACCGATAAAGAGACCGATAGGGAATTCGAAATGACTCGAAATTATTTGGAAGATGACGAAGTTATAATTAATTAACGACGCGTGTCCTGATGCGTGTGGTGAGATTTTTAATTCTTCCTCAAAAATTGCTATTTACGGTACTGGGCATGCAATATATTTAGAAAAACCGATACTCCTCGATCAATAACCCACTTGGAAATCGCGTTTCTACTGCGCATGTCAGCCAGTCGATTCACCCGGGGACCCATGTAGAACAATCCATTTCATTTTCGTTTTTCGTTTAGATAGTCCACGAGCGAGCCGATTTTAACACTAAAAATTTTCGACTCGTCGAGTCGACCGCTTTTGCTTTTTTCACTTTTTCTACAGAAACTATAAGAATATACTCTATATTCGCTAACAGTTCCATTGACTTATATTTCAGTTCGCGTACCGTTCAATCATCTTTCTCATACAATTCTCATGCAAGAATCTTTTATCTTTTGAATAATCACGAACGAAGAAATCAGAAATGCGTCATTTCGAGTCAGTTGGTAGTTCTACCGTTAATGGTGATATATAACTTCGTTATTAATCTATCACCGCGTTCGAAGAGATCATCGAATCTCGGTTTGGAACTGAAAGTGATTACAAGACATTCATTTGAGCAGGTTCGATTTGGTTTCGAGACGAATCAGGATGGAACCGGACGTCGTATCGTGCCGCGATGTCGACGAAATGCGTTTGTTTGTTTTTGCTCTATGAATGCGATGATGTTCCTCCGAATGCTGCTACCTTCTCATTAGCCCGTATTTTAAATGATCGATGCAACTTCACGATCTCTAGGCTCTTACGGACCACCGATATTCGATATTTGACGTGTTCGATCTCTGATGTAATGCCGAGTTACGTGGTGCAGACCGCGATCCTGTGCCGTCAGCATTTTTCTACCATTTCTACGTAAAGCGTTCGCTAGACTTCGTCCACGCCGAACTAAAACAGCTCTGCAATTGTTATGCAACATTCCTGCGAGCAAGGAGCAAATTTGTACGGTAAACGAACAAACGAATGAATTCAAGTCTTTCCGAATGATCGGCGAATCGATAGAGTTCTTCGGCCGATGAAGCATTCGACACAGACGAAAAGTAAACGTGCGTTTTCTCATTTCAACTGTAAAAACGAATCGGCGATTGGTCCGAGCGCGCAAAAGCGTGTCACGATATTTACTAATCGGGCAGCTGAAGAAAAAACTGAAAGCCTGTGTACTCGGTACGATAGTTACGATGATGCGTGTTCATGCGTTCATGTATTCGTTCATGTATTCCGCTGATCCAGAATCGCGTATTTTCTTCAGAACGGAACATCTATGTGACGCATCTACACCTACATGTTTGATGGTGGTCGATCGAATACGATAAGTAGACCGCGGAAGTTTATGCGCTTACAGCATCTCCTAACCTACAAGACTCTCTCTCTCTCTCCGACTAAATATTTAGTACCGAGCTCAACGTCCGAGCCGGACAGACAGGTAAAGGTCGGAGCGTGATTCACATAAACGTCCACGATCTGGCAATAATGCAAAACGTGAACATACACGGATCAAGAATATTCCAGAAGCAAGGATTGCCGTTAGCTAGACCGGAACACGGTTTCTTACAAACCGCACCGGTGTCGTCCTTTTCCTTCGCTGGAGCATTGATAGGGCATAGCGCTTCCATCTTCGCCTAACCTTGCGTCTCGACCAAACCAAGGACGACGAATCGCATTCGAGCACTACCCCAGCGGTTCGAGCTGGCAGTGCGAACGGCGCACTTTAGAAAACACCAACTTCTTTCCCTTCCAACTCCTTGTTCACTTTAGTTTCCCTTGACCGACCTCTAATTACTGTTTCGCACTCGAATGTTACGTCGATTCCGCTCCCTGTACGCCGCCGCTTCGAAACTGCTTAGAAAGGAACCAACTTTTCCGCGAAACTCGAGACCGCTACACACTCAACTCGAACACAACCCTCCACCGTTCAAGACGAGAACAAGACTGACTAGACTATTATCGACCCGTGGACAGTTCCAGATAACCCCCACCACTTTGCACCGTCATTGGTGATACGCCGCGAGAACCAGCGGGCTGCCACCTGAATCGGTTACTTACACGGTTCCGAGGATCCGGGATAGGTGGCGCGGTGTCGCGTCATCGTGCAGCATTCGATTCCTTCGTTGACCGGTGGATGTCGCGAATCGAGATCCATGCAACCTCCTAGCACGATCGGAGTCGGTATTGCGCGTATCTACTTGCTCTTAAATACTAGCGTGCGATTCGAAAGAGGTTAACGTCGACTTCTCGATCGTTTCCCGCCGGAACACTTTTAAACGAATCGCTACCGAGAGCTGATTCTTCGACGTTCATGAATATGGAACGGTGAACAGTATCCATGCTTGTCCACGCTGTCGAACGAAACGCGCCGTGGAATAAGATCGCATTGCGCGACGTTTAACAATGTTCTTTGCCGTTTCAATGAAAGCGTAACGACGACGGAATACGTTAACGGTAATCGGTACACGCGTTGGAAAAATGAAGCTTTCTTTTCAATTTTCCATGATACTCGAACGGTATCCGCGTACCGTTCGTTTGCACGATTCAAGTGTAAAGTATACGACGCAATGCAACGAACGTTTAATGAGAAATGAATTAATGGGAAAATATCGCGTCTACTGTTTCACGTGTTCAGTTAGCACGGAAAAGAGGTGGAAGGATAAAAGGTTGGAAGAATGGAAATTAGGTCCGATCTGCCGTCCAAAATAATCCATGAGTCAGACATGAAATTTTTCGTAATCGAATCACGTGTAAAAATATCTCTGCGGAGTACGGCCACGACAGCATTCACGACAACAAATTGTTCAAAGAAAGATGGTTTCTGAGGGATTTTTGAAATTTTAACCAGTACCGCACAGAGACGTGTGCGGACGACCGGAAAATTAAGTCGTACAACTATTAATAGTTGAATGTTACGCGTATCGGCATTGAATTTTCAAATTAATCATTTTAGACGTGCCCTAATGTACTGGTTCTACCAAAAGAGGTCGTAAGGCATCCTTGCGGCGGATCAATATCGAGAGAAGGGACGGAGAGAGAAGATGGGCTGTGTATACTCTGATACATATCCATAAAAACCATGCATCAAAAACACCATTTCGTCTTCTTTCATGGTATACACAAGTGCACTCATATACGCATCATGAGAATAAAGGGTTTCGGTTTAATTATTCTCCTCCTCCAGACATGTGTATACAAGGGTTCCAACAATGTATTCAGAATACATTCTTATTTTTATTTTGAGTATAAACGTCAGAAGCAACGCGTGTAAACATCGCACGTAGGCATGGGATAGATAGAGATAGATAAGTTTATGCGACAGTTAACCAACCGATTAACCTTATAAATCGATACTAAAGCGTTTGAATATCAACGTGTTGTTTCCAAGGAGGATATCAAAAAATCAATTATTAATTTCAATAATATACTTGTCATACACTTGTACTCTTATACTTGTGAATGGAATTATTGCAACAGATATGAAATACATTTCGGCTATTAATTAGTCAACATTTGGACCGACTTAACGAGGAAGAAACTTGAATATGCAAACTGGTAAAGATGGAGCTTCGAGCGTAAGATGCTCGGTTACCGTTATACAGACGTATATAGATTTGCATGTAACGGTACAAAGGATACTACCCTCACCGAAAACGATGATATTTATATATATATATTTAATATAATACATCATTTTCATATAACTTCCCTACTCCCTAATATTGCTCTTTACATTAATACGTTCGCGACCAGCGTTCGTTTTAGTGGCAGTCTTCACGATTATGATATTTTATTAAACGCAATAAGTCGTTTTTATAAAAATGAAAATAAGATTCAAGAAAATAATCTCGTCGACTTCTCACACGTCGCACTATGAGTTACGATTTCAGATGAAAACACACGTGAAAGTAATTTAATTCCTCTTACGTGAGATACAAAACGTTCAGCGACACAAATATGTGAGGCTGGCCGCAAAGGTGTCGCAGACTTGGAAAAAGCGATAATGGGGACAGATTGTTTATACGAACGACAAAGCGGACGGAACTTACGCGCCAACCTGACATTATTTTACCGTAACAGAAATGTCACCGACGATATGAAATGATGTGCAATCGTCAAAAAGTAATTCTTTTTTCCTTGAAAGATATCGATATCGATTTTATAGCAAGTATCACATAAAAAACCCCTCGAAATTTTCATTTTCCGTTTCATCTGTTGCAGATGACTGCGAAAGATACGCAATACGGTTTGAACATGCGCAATTTTATCTATGCAACAAAAAATTTCTTCTTACGCATATACACATACACGCGCATATACGTTTCAAACGAATGATGTAATATTTCTTCTAAATAAAAATTGATTAAATCAAATGTCGCGAGGGTACAATGAAGAATTGAATGCAAGTTAAAATTACATTCGTCTGCTTTCCGCGCATCAACATTTGACAACGCCGGTATGAAAGAAGGAACCGTCATTGTGGAAGGGAGTATGATATGTCTGGAATAAATAGTTGATTCGTTACGGCTCAGAAAAACGATGACGTTGTAGTCAAGCGGAAGTGTGGTTCACTTCGTGCGAAGATGGTAAATGAATTAACGTTTCGCGCTAATCGTTTCTGCTTTCGAAACTTTGGAGGTCGAAAACAAAGGCGTTGCGCAAAGAATGTTGCGACAAAAAAATACGACGGGAACAAAAAAATATATCTATATTATATATATATATAGATTTCTATGAATGTATGCCACTCGGCAATTTGTGATGTGATAATTTTTAACTTCTTCAGATATTGACTCGGGTTGAAGCAACTATTACGTAAAGGTACTTACCGATACCGATACTGGGAAATCTTTCTTTTGACGTGATTTCAATTTCTTCGATTCTTTCTCTTTTCACCTCCTGTTTTACTGGCTTATAACTCTTTACCGGCGACGCTTCCACCTCAGATTCGAATTCGGATTCGCCGGTCTCCGGTGCGCTGGTTTGTTCCTTCTTTTCTGTATCGATAAGCAGATATTCATTCGCGCTGTCTACCTTTTTCTCTTCTTTCGAAATAGTTTGAACTTTCTCGACAGTAGAGGCAGGCTTCTCTAAAACGGATTCAGGTTTCTCTGAAACAAGTTCAGGCTTTTCTACAACATTCCACGAGTCGTCCGGTTTCTTTTCACCGGCAGAAACGATCTCTGGTTCGTGGTTAGCACTTTTAACAATTTCTTTATTTCCTTCTTCTTTCGTTTCTGTTTGGAGCTTTTCCTCCTCTTTTCTGAAAACTGGTTCGGTATTCGTAATTTCTAACTGTGTTTCTAAATCAGATTCCGGTTCTTTCGATCTAACCTCAAATTTACATTCCTCGACCGGTCTAGCTTTTTCAGACTCCAATAGTAACGCTGTTGCCGTCTTAGAGTCTTCCGGCTCGCTTGACGATTGATTAGGGGAAAAGCTAATCATGTCTTTTTCCGTATTCATGTTCGGTTCCAGAGCACTTTGTACTTTTTCGATATGAGTTTCGATTTGACTCGATTGTCCATCCTGGACATGCTCGAGATGCTCAAAATCGTCCATCGAATCGTGCTCTCTTCTGATTGGTTGCTCCTTCAACTCGGCCATCTTTGCTACGCGCGAGGAGTCGATTATCCTGTCATAGAATTTAACTTTTCTTATAGCGTTTGCAATATCCTCAAATTTTCACAGGATCTCCGAATTGAATATTTTAAACTCTTTTTTAATTTCTATGCCGTTCAGCGTTCGTTGCAGTGTTTACACGTTTGCTTCCCCACAATAATGTTATCGTCGTATCGTTCACTTACAATCACTTGTTCTGTAGTTTCACTTTTTTTTGAGAAATTCAAAATTAAAGGTGTAAAAGTCTAGTTTTCACTATAAATTTTCTCACTTGTTGTAGGATGCCGCACAATCCTTTATCGGAACAGTCATAAATAATGTACAGTTATTCGGCAAGAACGTTCACTGGTCAACGGGTGGATTCAATTCTGAAACACGTTCCATGACAGAATAATTCGCAGGGTGTGCGTAAGAGGGTTCTCGCCCCACCATCATCGTTTCTTCCAGGAACGTACACAGCACGGGTAACACATCGTACAACTAACGGAAAGCCAACTTTTCAGGTGGGAGTTTTCTGTATTCATGTATCAACGTTCAATATCCTTTTGATTCTGGGTACAAAGGTAAATAAATGAAAAAGAATTTCTACTTACGAAATAAAAGTCTCGTGTTCAATAGAAAACATGCTGATGGAACCTAGGGAGGATCGTTCGTACCTGAAGTCCGACCAATCAGAATAGAACTACGTTCTCCCACTTTTTGGTATCGAAGGTAGAGGGAGGCGTGGGAGTTTAAGGCAATGAGTCACACACATTGCACAGCTACGTACTATCGACGATGGTTACACATACCTTATAAAAGAATATTTATAAAAAAAACATTATGGAAACGTTCAAGTGCACTGATGTTGTAACGCATATATTTCATTTCTCCTCGTGAACATTTCCATGTTCATCCTGACATTATAAAATGCTTGATTTATTTGCGCAATAAAATCGACCGTCAGAAATTCTGCCATAAATACTTTTCGATTTTCGACAATACACAGATTGAGGTAACAATACTCGTAACTGTGCAATAGAAATGTGCGGTCTATCATCAAGGATTACGACGTTGACATATAAGCACTGTACATCGAACAAGGAGTATATCTGTAGGACCCTATCGACTATTATAGCTCCTGTTCCAATTCTTAATTATCATGGACTTTAATATTGGCAGAATTCTAACAAAATGTGAAAACATGTGCAAATCGTCACTGAAAAATTCGTATAAAAACGTGATTTATTTTCTACGAATGGTTATAAGTTTACACGTACATACGTACGAGCAACGTATACCAGGACGTGTATCGAGTACCTACGCATGTGCTTAATTAGCCGGTATTCTGCGTTAAAATCACGTTCGCGTAATGTAGCGACGAAAGAAACATAAAAATAAGTAAATACTTTCTTCTTCGAAACCGTAGAAGTTTGTTCATTCATCGATGAATAGATTTTATTTCCATCGCGTTATATTACTCGCCTAAAACTTACATCTAGTGAGGTAATCATACGAAACGTACTAAATGAGGATGTGTATTATAAAAATAATGGAGCACATTGAATCCTTGGTTAATATACTCTTATTCATGAATCGCAGAAGGGGACAATATAATAATACGATTCCTTCGGTGTTTACAGTAGCTCGATTATCATTATTTTCAATTATTTACTAATGCTGAAAGTAATTGGGCTAACTTATTTGACATGCGCATGCGTATACCGACGTATTCGACGTATCCCTACGTTATCCCCGCGTTCGGTGTAAATCGCGGTCATAAAATCAGCAGAGCAGATGCGCATGCGTGGCTAATATCGCGACGCGTGGCTCGAGCGTCAGTCTTTGCTTGTTCGTCGTGTTGCTCAGTTGTGTGCGTGCTCCTTTCCTCTCGCGTTATCTTTTTCTCTTCCTCTCCTTTTCTCTTCTCGGACCTAGAGCTCGGAGAAAGATTTGCCCTTCGCAAAATGGCGGCAGAGGCTACCACCAGAAGAAGAGCGAACGAACACGAGGAGAAATTGGGTTGCAGAAACGGATTAACCTTTTGCAAAGATACCCTGTCTAATGGCCATGCCGGTTTACAGAGTAATGGACGCGTACAGGTTAGATTGTCACCTGTCACGCACATTTCTTTTATTTAGAAATAACTTTTGTCGTGCAAATCTCAGACTCCCGCGTATTCATGCGTTGGAAATTCGTACAAAATATCAAACATACAAATTGATACGAGTGCCCCGAAAAATTTTTCCGAGTTGAATCCACGCGTACCGGTAATCCTGTTAACGTGTTAAAATGTTCTCGAGAATTTGTTAAGTCGAAAGTTATGAAAGAACGTGTACGAATTGAAACGTCTTTTATCGACCGATAGTCGATAATTGAGATTCGTTTAATTTTATTCATTTGTTTCAATATATATATAGTGCTTTTAGTACTTTTCAATGAATACGTCTATGAACAAGCCTTGCGATTTACAACAGAAATCACGTATTACCAGTTATTATAATAAATTGCACGCCATTACTGATATTTCGTTTTGTCGCGAATCGTTGGAACGAAATCAAATAACAGGATGTTTCTTTTACGTGTCACGAGAAGTATCAACATTGCGATACGGAATTTCTAGAAACCGTTGCTTCCGATCGTTTCAATTTCGAGAAATCTTCCATTCCTTATTCGTAATTTTGCGCAACGCTATACATACCTACCTACTTAAGTACCTATCTATACGCGTATAGTGCATACTATACTATCGTCAAAGTAAGTATCGTATTTGACCAATTAAGAGCGATTGCTTTTAAACATTCCGACGAAGAAGCACGGCGAACTAAGATCACAACGAAACGAACTGATTTTAAGGTGGAGTTATCTTTAATTGAGTGAACGATGGCTATTCACGCCGTAACGCTCGAGTTATTTAAGGCAGTGACTTAAAAAATATACTCCATATCTTTGTCTAATCATGCCCACGATCATCGCGGATTATTTGATCTCAATAAACATAACTGACAACGCAAATTGTGATTTGAAAATGGTGCCTATTTATATTCCCTCTGATTTCAATGGAAATAATAATTGAGGAAACTCTAAAGAAAATCTGAACATATATGCACCTTGCAATGTTAAGCTTATTACCGTTAAAATATTTATAAAATTTTCCAAGCAATTAAGATCATATGCTCGGTTCATTTATCGCTTAAAATTGATTTCAATCGCCGATAATCAAGAGTCAAATACATGCGACAAAGGTAATATCAATCTTTGGAAAAACCTATGACGCCTATGTGTGTCTTTAGCTTTAAAAAAAAGATACTTTTCAATGAATATTTATTTATAACTATTCGCACGGTATCTATCACGTGCATGCCGTGACAATGTTCGTAACGGTACGTAAATATATATGTGTGTATATAAAACTAAAGTAGGCACTGATTTGTTAGTCATGCGTATTTTTTTCGTTTTGTTCGCTGCATTGGAAACTAACCTTGAAATTAGATCGGTAATAAATGATCAAGATCAGGAAACATTAACACTGAGTAACTACGCCGATCCCGAAGCTCGTGCAGATTCGTCCCTTTCTTGAAATACGCGATCGTACTGAATATTGCTACGGTAAATCATGCAATTAGCAAGAAATTATTATTGCGCATGAAATTATTTTGAAAATTGAAGGCACTGATAACATTAACGTCAAATGACAATGACGTTGAAAATCTTTGATACGAGAGTTCATCATTATGCGTATATAGGGTATATCTAGTAAGGTTTAACCCTTTGCACTCGATTTATTTTCAATGTTGTTGGGTGTAAACTTGAAAGTAATTTACAGCGGTAGAATTCGACGTTTTATATTTATTTTATTTATTATTATTATAATAAAATGTAATTTTTATAATCTTTTGGAGTGTGGTACTCTTTAAAAGAATTTCCAACGTTCTGTCACAAATTTGTATTATCATCTCCAGCATGACATACGAGTGCAAATGGTTAACTTTCTATTAGTGGGAACTGAATATTTATCGAAATATTTTATTTTAAGTGCTCAATGTTGTGCGATTACTTTGCTGCATTGGAATTACTATTCTACTATTTATCACATTCATTAACATTTTAGTAAACATTTAGAGTAAAATGTTTCGAAAAATATTGAGTTTTCAACAATACTGCCCGAAATCCTGCTCACGCAAGATGATACAAGAAAATTATTTATGTAAAAAAGAGGATAGAGTTTCATTTAAAAAAAGCGAGATTTGTGCTTTAGGAAAAAATTTATATTGTAGTAGAGCCTATTAAATACTGCGAAGCTTTTCTTTATGATTTCCTTTTAACTTCAACAGGAAGAGTTATCAGTTTATCTCGGTTACTAGACACACCCTGTATACAAATCCGCAAGAACGTTGCAAATATTTCAAAGAATAGGAATTAAAGAAAACAATGAGAGAAATGACTCGATTTTAAAGTGGGTACGCCGATCGTGGTACTTGGTAAATTATATTCGTTTGTTTCTAAAGATTCACCGTAAATACTCGCGTGTATGAACGGTAAAACAGAATCGTGGTTTCGCACGCGTTTCTTTTCGTACAGAAAGCTTCTGCATTGGAGTGCGTGTTTCCGTTCTGCGGCGAGAGGTCGAGGTTATCGATTTTGGTATTCTCGTCACTTTGCAATGCGAAAAACTTGTTTCGAGGAAAAACTCGTATTCCTTATCGAATATTTGTTATCGGCGTCAAATGATCGGAAGCCTCGATCGAGAAATACTTTCCGTCTCCCGAACGGCGGGAGGTCAAAACTTCATTTTATTTTTTTCCTATTAATAACCAAATGAAGTACCCATTGCAATTACCGCAGGGCTTTCGTAAGATTTACCGAGAGTTTTCACAGGGAAAGACTCAGAAAGAAAAGATATTACGAATGAGGGGAAGAGGGATTGTTATCATGATACAAAAGTAGCGAATAAAATTGGACGATAGCAAAGAAGAAACTGGAATTGTTCGTGAAATCGCATCTAGGTTAAAAATACCATCAGTTTCCAGAGAAAGAGACGAAAGGAGAATCGACGAATAGAAGGTCGAAGGAGTCGTTCGAGAGGGTACCGTTCATCACAGCAGCATTGACCCACCTCGGATTCTATATTCTTATGTTCCTGGGTTTTATAAACCAATTGTTTTTTACACCGAAAGTCGCGAAAGAGTACAACAGAGAGGTAAGGCAGTACATAATATTTCTCTCTACTAGATTATTATTTCATTGATCCATTCGCGTCTACCCGTTATAGTATAGAATTCGTCTCGGTGCGACAATCACAATCACACGCATACCGTTGGTAGATCACTCGATGACTAGACATACTATGTAGGAACGTGGGTCTGAAGTTCTCATACGTTCTCATTTCGTTTCCGATGCTAATTTGCTAATCGTCGATACGGTTATACTAATCGAAACTATAAACGAATCTGTCAACTTGTCGGACCCATGTTGCCCTCGTGCCGGCGTCCCGATAGACATCAAGTGACATCCCAACGGTACATATATCCATACACACATGTCTATACACATATATTGTTCCTTTTCAACTTTCGTGTTTATTTATTCCCTGTTCTTTTCTTGAAAACAATTCGATCGTTCGAACGCGCGATTGCGAATTACCGCGTACGAGCGCGCGTAGTTTGAAAGATCGCGAACCGCTTAATCCGGAGCAATGTGTTATCCGCAATAAGCGCAATAAGATCGATATCACGTATTATCGAATTTTTACGGAACAACCGACAACGATGACAAGAAAGGTAATTAAAACATTCCTCGATGATGTCGTCCGATATCACTCTAATCTAATAGTTGGCTCCTCGTTGCTCGCAATAGCTTGTAAAGACGAACAAAATCCGTTTAATTCATTTTATCCCTCAAGGTACGTTGGAATCTTGTATATAGTACAAATGGAATAGAATCGAGAAATCTGTTGGTAAACTAATAGAGACATACATGCATACATACATACTATTGTATTACGTATATACGTATATGTATATGTATGTATGTATGTATGTAAGTACTTATTACGAAGATAGTAGAACAGAGATGAAGAGCTAACCTACCTTTCTCGGCAAGCTGGACAAAAGGTGATCGGTTTCTCATTGTTGCTCGAAGAAAATCTTGGAAATGATTACCTCGGATAAACGCATGATCAGAAAATAACCATTCGATAGTTAATCCTGCTAGGTGAAAAACAAGACTACGTACTCGTAAGGATAAAATTTGTAAATCTGATAGACTGGTCTTTAACCGATAAATTTTCAAGAGCTGATGTGATTATTATTGTTATTATTTTTTAAACATTATAATTATTATTATTGTTGTTGTTGTTGTTGTTGTTGTTTTTATTATTATTACATTACCGCCATAATCACCCATGATTGTTATTACTATTACTATTATTATCATTATCATTATCATTATCATTATCATTATCATTATCATTACCATTATTATTATTTTTATAGTTAGGTATTGTGGTTATCACGACAAGAATTATCGAGATTGACTATCTCGAAATCTACTGAAAAGTCGTTGAGGAGTATGAGTACCATCCTTATACGGGCGCGAACAGTTTCCTCGAAAAGATGAGGGGAACAAATAGAGCCGAATTGATTTATCCCCGAACGTAGGTAGGAAAGCATTTAAGGCGAAAATGTTTGTTCCAGGGTTACGCACCGCTTTACGAAAATTTCGAAAGATTTTATCTTCGATACGTGTACAGAAGAGTGAGAGATTGCTGGAACAGGCCGATATGTTCTGTTCCAGGTGCAACTGTTACGCTTAAAGATAGAGTAACACGAGATTACGGATGGTCGTTCCAGTAAGTCGTCAACAATGAACATACTAAAAATTTCACCGATAAAAAATGGCGGTGTTGTCATATACACGCGATTATTCGTAACAGATGTTTCGTTATTGAGTCTAATTAATTGTCTCGACTCATCCCGTCTCGTCTCGTCTCGTCTCGCTTTGTCTTATCTAGTCTCATCTAGTCACCGCCTTGTCACGTCTCGTCTAGTTTCGTCTTGTCTAGC